CTTTAAAAATAATTTTAAAATATATTTTTATAATATATCTTATCTATATACATTTGATGGTGAAGGTCCCATACATATATCTTTATGGTCATTACAAAAATCTGAAGAAAAAATTGACCTGCCAGAAAAGTAGATCTTATTATCTATTAGTTTTTTCAATTATGAATATCTGAAAAATAATTTCATTTATAAAATATTTCAACAAACGCATCTTTATAAAATTTATGTATTTAAATTTCTTACATTTAAGGACACCAATTAATAGTTAATTCAATTCTTAAATGAATTATGAATCCTCATATTCATATCAAAACCAAACTTAACAATAATGAGGACTATTTTTAAAAAGTACATTTTACTTTATTCCTAAGCTTTTTGGTGTTGCGACTATTGTTACAAATAGATTTTAAGGTTGTGACAGGTATTGTATGGTTTTTTTTTAAGGTTGTGATGGTGTTAACACAATTGTTTTTGGTGTTACACATACCCTCTATTTAAACAAGAGTAGGGGTTCATAGGTGGTCTGCCACTGAGGTAATAAAGAAGAGAAAATAGTATTCTGGGAAAAAGTCAAGTAAACCTTTAACATAAATATGACTAATAATTCGAAATAGTATTTCTCAATTTATTAAACTTTTCCTTATTTTATTACTTACCAAAGTCTTTATCTAATATTAAAGCTTGCATTCTCAAATAGAAGCAATAAGAATAACATATTTTGCTACAACTATAAATCCAATAATCATAATTAAAATAAAAAACATGAAGTTTTTCTAAATATTCCAATATCAATTATTTATACTTAAAAAAAAAAAATGAATTAATCAGTAATCTAACTCAAATTTAATTTCATTTAAATTAACTTGTTGATATAATTATTAGTTATTCTATATTCTTCAAGAGTCAAGAAATATAAATGGAGAATTGAATTTTTTTGGCATTTTTTACCTTAATTATAATCAATATCAAATCTTGATTAGATAATTTTATTGATTTTGCAGAATATAACTAAAAGTTAGAGAAATGGAAATTCAATATTAAAAATAAAAAAATAAAATGCAGGGTCATTTTTAAGGTGAGCAAGCTTTAGCTGACATCTTTACTTAAGTTAAAGACTCAGATGAAAAAATATTTGGTGTCATATTAGAAATATTTCGAAAGGAAAAAGTTTAAGACTGCATTGGATATCTTTAAGACATTGGAAATCAAAGAAAGTTATATCAATCTTACTTACAACAAGCGGAGAATTCAACCAAAACAGATATAGAATAGAAATTTTCTGTTGTTATAAATGACGTGAAATAAATTACAGATGTCTTAAAAAAATTAAAAGTTCATGACTTCAATAACTAAGACTATTCCAGTGATGAAAATTATGAGTCTACATTACATCTAATAAATATCATCAAGGATATAGGATAGATTATAGAATTTTTGTAATTTTTAGTTTACCTGACATCCATAGATAAAACTTTAATATAATGTGGGTCTAATTCATTACATGTATTAGTTAAGATGAAAGTTGATCTTCGAAATAAGAATTTTGAAAATATTAAGATATAAAATACTTCTTTAGTAGGAGCTAATTTTGTTAAGTGTACTTTAAGTGGATCCTAATTTAATAATGTTAACATAAGTGGAATAAATTTAAATGGAGCTTAATTATTTAATTGTAAATGGAAATACTTAAGAATTCAAGAATTAAATTAATTGAATGGCCATGTAAATTCAGTAAATTCAGTCTGTTTCTCTCCTGATAGAAATTCATTAGCTTCCGGTAGTTCAGATAAGTCTATTCGTCTTTGGGACGTCAAAACAGGATAATAAATAGCCTAATTCTAAGGTCATACTCATTGCATAAAATCAGTCTGTTTCTCTCCTGACGGAAATATATTAGCATCTGGTGGCCGTGATAAGTCTATCCGTCTATGGGACGTGAAGACTAAGAAAAAAAGCGCAAAATTAGATGGTCACGATGATTATGTCGTATAAATCTGCTTCTCCCCTGATGGAAATACATTGGTATCTGGCAGTGATGACAAGTCTATCCGTTTATGGAATGTCAAAACAGGATAATAAAAAGCCAAATTAGATGGTCATGGTAGTTGTATCAACTCAGTCTGTTTCTCTTCTGACGGAAACACTTTGGCATCTAGTAGTCTAATAAACTCTATTTTTCTATGGGATGTCAAAACAGGATAATAAAAAGCTAAATTAGATGCTCATAGTTTTGTTATTAGATAAGTTTGTTTCTCTCCTGATGGAAATACATTGGCATCTTGTGATGATAAGTCTATCTGTCTATGGGATGTTAAAACAGGATTGTAATAAGCAAAATTAGATGGTCACACTAGTATTGTCTACCCAATCTGTTTTTCTCCTGATGGAAATACATTAGCATCAGGTAGTTAGGATTACTCTATCCGTCTATGGGATGTCAAAAGAGGTTAATCAAAAGCCTAATTCGATGGTCATAGTGATAAAGTTTGTTCAGTCTGTTTCTCCTCTGATGGAAATGCATTAGCCTCTGGTAGTGCCGATAACTCTATCCGTCTATGGGATGTCCAAAAAGTATAATAAAAAGACGAATTAGATGGTCATAGGGATAGAGTTTGGTCAGTTTGTTTCTCTCCTGATGGAAAAACATTAGCATCTTGTAGTGATGATAAGTCTATCCGTCTATGGGTTGTTAAAACAGGATAATAAAAAGCCAAATTGAATGGTCATACTCATGAGGTTAGAACAGTTTGTTTCTCTCCTGATGGATATACATTAGTATCTGGTAGTGTAGATAAGTCTATCCGTCTATGGGATGTTAAAACAGGATAAGAAAAAGCCAAATTGGATGGTCATAGTGGATATGTTTTGTCAGTTGTTTTCTCTCCTGATGGAAATTCATTAGCTTCTGGTAGTGCAGATAGGTCTATTCGTCTTTGGGATGTCAAAACAGGTTAATAAAAAGCCAAAATAGATGGTCATACTCATGGTATTCGAACAGTCTGTTTCTCTCCTGATGGAAATTCATTAGCTTCTGGTTGTGAAGTTAGGCCAATCCGTTTATGGGATGTCAAAACAGGATAATAAAAAGCTGAATTAAATGGTCATCGGGGTGGAGTTTGGTCAGTCTGTTTTTCTCCTGATGGAAAAACATTAGCATCTTGTAGTGATGATTAGTCTATCCGTCTATGGGATGTTAAAACAGGATAAGAAAAAGCCAAATTGGATGGTCATAGTGGATATGTTTTGTCAGTTGTTTTCTCTCCTGATGGAAATTCATTAGCTTCTGGTTGTGCAGATAGGTCTATTCGTCTATGGGATGTCAAAACAGGTTAATAAAAAGCCAAAATAGATGGTCATAATGGATATGTATTGTCAGTTGTTTTCTCACCTGATGGAAATTAATTAGCTTCTGGCAGTGCAGATAGGTCTATTCTTCTATGGGACGTCAAAACAGAATAATAAAATGAGTAATTGGAGGGTCATAGTGGTTATGTTATGTCAGTCTGTTTCTCTCCTGATGAAAATACAATAGCATCTGGTATTGATGATTAGTCTATCTGCTTACGTAATGTTAAGAATGGGAAATAATTTTCATCCACTAACGAAAGTTATAGCAATATTTTAGCTTAATTTAAAACATCAATTTTTTCAAACTATCCTATATCATGTATTTATTTCATTATTATTTTTTAGCATCAAGCTATTTTACAATACTACGAATATCTCAAACACCATTATTTTAAGCATAAGGAGCTCTAATCTTAAAAGGATATTTTGCAAATTATTAGGGTTACGATTTAAGACCTTTATTAGAATCCAAAAGAATTTACCTTTTAGAAGATTTTAAGTGAAAGTTAATTTGATTATTATCAACAACAACATAATTATAATTACAATCAATATCAATATTTAATATGTTAAAATTATGACTCTTAAAGTTCTTAAAATATTTGAGTACATGCTTTTCCTAAGATTTATTCCAATTCAGTTAATTTATATGTCCTTTATTTTAATATTAATAATAATAGTCAAGTGTAGGGAATAAATATTGAGATATAAAACTGTTATCAAATAAAATTTATAGAGATTTAAATTTAAATGATACTACATTAAATAAATTCTCAACCGACTAATAAGAGTCTAATAGAAATTGTGAAATAACTATTTAAAGAAAATCCAAAGTAAATTATAATTATGTTATTCTTTTTAAATCATCTAGGATATTATCCTAGGTTTACTTAATTTATTTGACTTTATAAAAAGGATTGGTTTAAAAAGTTATAATTAATAATTTTTAAATTTAGTCTTTTAATTTATAAATAGAAAAAGATATTTAATAATTACTTATTCTTTTATACCATAACAAAAATAATCAAAAGGTATGACAAGAATTTACAAAATATTGTTAATCCTTAAATTCATCTAAGCTATAAAAAAGTTAAAACAAATAAGTTTGAGTGATTTTTAAAAATACTATTCAAGGTAATATTTCGATAAACCTTCTTATTGTTTATTACAAAATTATCATTTATCACTTCTTAGCTTAGAATAAGTGTATTCTTATGATGATCTCATCAATTAGACAAATTAAAAGTTAAATTAATTAGTTAAGAAATTACCCATAATTTATTAAATAATGTAAAGTAAATCTATTGACGAAATTGTAGAAGAAGAAAAAGGTATCATAAATTGGTATTGTTATATAAATACAAAATTAATAGTTTAGGACTAAAATGCGTTAATTTTGCATTTCTACAAATGAATTAACCTGTTCAAAATGAGATTAATTGCATTAAGATCTATAGAAAAAAACTGAATAAAAAAAAGCAGGAAATCAATGTTATCTATTATTATGTTTTTGTAGGTTTACAATTACAAAATTATAATTTATAAATTATTCAATAATTTTTAACTACTTTTATAATTAAGGTTAAAAAATATTTCTTAATTATTAATAATAAGAAAATCAACTTACAATATGATTAAGTGTTAGTAATTAATTTATAAATTTAGCATTACCCATTTTAACATTGTAGAGAAGGAAAAATATGAAATCAAAATATAAAATGCATATAACAATAAAGGTTCACAATATTCATTTATTATAGGTTAAATTTCATATAAAATTACAAAGATGATCAATCAAGATTAATCAAAGGTAATAGAAATTTTTGATTTATCGAAATTTATTATAGTATTCAAAATCAATTTTGATAAAGTAGAGGTTTTTCAATTCTCAAATAAATTCTATATTTCTTTCATTCCAAATCTAAATTCTAGATGAATAAATCTTTTAACGCTCATATTTGATAATATGAATATTATGATTGGATGTTCTATTAAATTGACTAATTAACGGTTTTGCAATTATATTCTATTAATTAAACATATGATGTTAAATCTAAGTTTTTCCATTTATAATATATATGCTAAGAGAAATGAGTATTATTTTATGAAAAGAATTTGTAAATTAATAAAATCGTTATATTACAAGAATTAATCAAATTTGTTTTGATCTCTTAGCTCTAGATTAATCAACCGACACTACTTTTTCAATAAAATTTTCCTGTTTCTTTTTTAGTCCTTTTCATAAAACTCTTATGTATGAAAATATTGTAGATTACTTATACTTTAGTTTAGATGATGCTTTGAATATTAATATTGGTAAAGCTATAAAATCTAGATAAAATTCAATTAATAAATTTGAATTTTATTAATAATCAAATTGCGAAAAAATAGAATCCTTTGGTTTTGAGATTGTTGTTCTAATAGATCCTAAATCACTTTCCAAACTATTCTACATTATAATCCATCTTCTAAGTATCCAATCTTGCACTATAAACTTAGCCCTTAGAAGCAATCAAGAAACTTCTGGTAAATAAGAAAAGGAACACTAACAACATACTCTAATTCAAAATAGTTTCCATCATCACATAATTCGCCTCCTAATATATAACCATTCGCAAAATTTTAAAGGGCAAACTTCATTAATCAATAACAACCCATTCTTTTAACTATCTTTACGTATTCTACAATTACAAATATTACATCCTTATGGACATTAAACTAGGCATTTGCAACAAACATTTTAATCTTATGGTAAATCTCTATAATGCTCATATTTATTTTGATCATATGTAGAATTACAATCATCAGACTCTTCTTCTATACTTGAATAAAAACAATTTCCACAAAACCCTATGCATTAATTAAAACAGTATTAATTAAAATAATCTTTCTAAATAATCGATAATCACTAAAGTATTAACAGGATTAACCATCCCAAAAGCATTTTTTCAGTAAAAATAGCAGTTAGCATCCGCTATTTAAATGAAATAATAGAAATTGGCATTCCTAACAGTATAGTTACATGCAAGAAGCTTTCTAACGATGTCTATATGAGTTTGAATGGGGTAACATCAAATGAACTGCAACTTCGCAGATATTTTAATAAGCATTAGAATACTTATAACAGTCTTAATTATATATTTTTTTCGCAAGCCTCTTTATATGT